TTTCCCCCCCCCCCCCCCCCCCCCCCCCCCGGCCACAGCTCCCACACCCAAATCGATCAATCCGGTTGCGATACCGTCAGCCCACACATATTATCTCCTCCCAAAGCGTCCCGGCACCGGCACATCCGTCCGCACGTCAGCAAAAAATGATCGCCAAGCACACCATCAATCCTAACACGCAAATACAGAACAACGGGAGAAACCGCGCTGATGCGCTGGGCACGCGGAACAGGCTAGCTGAACGTGACTGCCCGCCGTGTGACCATGCTCAGTCGGAGGCGGGAGGCGGCGGGGCACTAAGCAAGCGAAAAGCTTCACCCGCTCTCGTCGGTTAAAAAAAAAACACACAACAACAGCAACAACAACAACACAAATACTCACAGGAGGTAAGGAAGCAGCAGCCACAGTCCTGAACCTTGGGGAGAAAGACAAGACCGGCATTCCTTACTCGAGTGAATTTCGACAGGACCACCGGGGGGCTAGACTAGGAATAAACATCGCTCGCTAATACGAGCCATGTTTCCCCGCGAGCAGGGGAGTGAGTCAGCGGCACACGGAATCGACGACGACATCACCAACGCAACGAACCGTGTGTTGTTGGTACATCGTTCGTGACGACGTCGGGAACACGCTATCCTATCAAAAAACACTCAACAGCGGCTTGTGACGCGCATACCTATTTCTTGACGGAGGAGCGCGCAGGCGGTTAGGAAGTTCTGCAGCCTAGCTAGCGCGTGTGTTCGGCGGGAAACAACAAGAACAAAAAAAAAATCTGCTGGACTTTTCTGTGCTGGGGGGGCGCGCGGGGGGGGGGGGGGGAGAACAACACCTCAAAACCACCAAAAGAAAACGGTTACAAACACACATCCATCCGGATAATCACGACACCCACGAAAAGGACAAATACATAACCAAAAGCAAGCAAGGAAGATAGACAGAGGCACAAAGCCGGCGAGGTTATCGATATCGGGCAGGGAAGGCAGTCAGCACCGGCACCTGCCTCATCAACACAAAATTGTACCTTCCGTACCATACATGTTCCGGGCTTTTTCCGTACAACAAACGCGCACCAGCAACAAAAAACGAAAGCCAGATAGAGCCTCTCTCTTTGCTTGATTGCTCGCTGATTCGTGTGTACGTATATAAAAAATATACCATGCCCCCAAAATAATAGAAAATTACTATAATTCTTAAGATTATGTGCACTCAGGGGACACCCCCGAGTCTGCGGTGAAGCACGAATCTTCCACGTAGGGAGTTGAATCCGCGGCGCCCCCCTCGTTATTCCACAACCGGGTCTCGTCAGACCGGGTGAATCTGGGACACGTTTTGGTCGTGTTCGGTTTCGGTGGGCACCGATTTCAAAAGGGGGGGTTGGTTTCGGCCGCGGGGGTGCAGCATCGGCGGTGTGCGTTTGAATGCGCGCGCGTTGGATGGAGCGGATCGGGATTGGTGGGGGGGTTAAGGCGGGGGTCCGGAGCGGAGGGGGAGACGGGTAGAGACGGCCAGGATGACGGCGAAGAAGTCGGAGACCATGGAGATGATCACGGAGATCACGGCGATGACGACAGTAGAGAGAGAGAGAGAGAGAGAGAGAGAGAGAGAGAGAGCATAGGGGAGAGAGCAGACACAACAACGGAGGTAGGGGGGGGAGGGAGAAAAGGGCACGAGGAATGGGGGAGAGGAAGGAGTGAGCCGAGATTATCGCATCGCAGAACGTCAGACAAGAGCAGTCAAGGCGCTTCGTCAACCAAGAGGGGAGAGAGTTTCAACAACAAAAACGCATCGGTGAACCCTGCAATCTAGAGCTCGTCAGCGCGCTATTAAGACACTCCATGTTTGCGAACCCTAGGATTTAACGCATGAGAGAAGTATGACCTTGCCCACTTCAAAAAAAAAACGCACGGCTCCCAACCTCCCTATTTGCGGACCCCAACTACTGTCAAGGTCAAAATGGCAGCCAAGAGGCGCACGAGGCCATCCGGCCTGCCCTAGTCTGAGCGGTTTTACACAAAAAGGTTAGGCATGGGCATGCACGCAGCAGCACTCACGAGAACGCGCCGGAGCCCAAGAAGAAGTTGTCGGAGAGGGTGGTCTCAGAAGAGTCCGCCACGGACACCGGAAAATTCGCGGTCCCCATTACATTATTTTCACTGCGCAAAAAAAAAACAAAAACGCATACGGCAGTACACACGCAAAATGAGGATGAATGGTAGCGACGGGGGTAAAATGGGTTGATAGGTGATGTGTACTCCCTGTCGTTCCCCATCAATGCAACAATAAAAGAAAACGGCTGAGAGAAACACCAGCACGCTCTAGTGGGGTGGACGTGAGAGGAGGTCCACGGTTGGACGGACACCGTCCGCAGAGGCACAACAACTCTGGAAAGAAACGTCGAGCTACACACTCCATACATCACCGACTACAGAGAGCGAAACCACAGCTTGCACGCCACTGCCGGGCCCTATTATCGTGGTACAGAGGGGGGGTCCCTGTTTGGTGCCGGTTGAATAGTGCCAATGCCCGGTATTGTGCCAGTGTTTTCGGCGAACACAAACTGAATTTCCAAGCCATTGTCACCACTTTGAATAGTGCAGGTGAGGTGAATGTTCTGGGGTCATACTGTACCGGCGCTAAAACAGGGACCCCTCCTCTGCAGGCTGTTTTTCCCAAGAGTGCGGAGGGAAAGAAACCTGTACGCCCAAGCGCGGCGTTAGACCTTGGCAGTAGCGGTGCAGACATGCCACATTATTAATACAACACCCCGTTACCTGCACGCTTGTCCTCCAAGGGGACGCAATTTGAGGCAGAGAGGGTGCCGGCGGCGATCTTATGAAAGCGGGCAAAACATGTGGTCGAGCCGCAAAACGAAAAAACGAGCGAAGGAAAAGAAAACAGGATGTACACGCTTGAGGCGTCCGGGTCAGTTGGACCGGCACGGGCGCTAGAAGGTACGGAGCAGAGACCGGAACGCTCTTTGGTTGAAGACAGCACCGACAACAGCACGACCAACAACAACAACAACATCAACAACAACACCACCATCAACAATAATACCTAACTCACCTCAAGAAATTCCTTTCGTTGATCCCGGTGTACGGCTCCACGTCCGCGACATCCGAGGAAGAGCCGATGTACAGGTACAGGTCGTGCTGGCTGTTGCTGCTCACGCTGTTGGTCGTAATCTGAGGACCCGAAAAAACACATCCACCAAGAACAGGTCGTCAAGAACAACCAAGCGTCGTGTAAAACTACCAAGACCCGAAGGACAGAAGCAGCAAAGAGTCGTGCAAAACAAACCAAGAGCCATCCAGTGGCCAGCGCATGGGGGGGGCGCGCGCTCGTATGTTTTGCATGCCTTAGAGGTTAGATCATTGACCACGCGTCCTCGAGAGGGCGGGGCATCATTCCCAATGGCCCAAAGATGACCGATGGCCAATCAGGGGGGAGTCGGGGCAATGCCTTCTTGTGGGAGCACTGCATGGGAGCACTGCGTTTGTCTCCGCCGCTTTGTTTAGCTACAACGTGGACGTTGCAACACATGAAAACAGCTTGTAAAAAAAACAAAAAAAAAGGAGATAGGGGGGCCTCAGGAAGAGGAAACCTTCTGTGCGACCACGGGTTGGAGCACATTCCTACCTGTGTGCGAGGGCTGATTTCGATTGATTGATTGATGACAAACAAAAAAGAGAAAAGAAGGATACACGCTGCCGATGTCTTCGACATGCCCGCCAGAAGCCTGCACTTGGCGGAGACAGGAACGTTTCTTTTTTTTTTATGTGCAGACAATAACAAACAAATACGAACCACAGAAGCGGTACAGGATTGCAGGAAACACGCAAGCTAACTTGGACACACGACGGGACACTCACGTTGAGCGGCAGTAGAGGGATACCGGGAAAATGTTCCGAAAATGAAAGCAACACCAATGTACCAGGTACTACGCAGACGATCACACCATCACCAGAAACCGTCGCCGATAGCGAGTCAAGTATGCGCGTTTGTGATATCATGTACTCTGGACGTCAATGCCGGGACACACGTTCGCATGCATCACCTACAAACCAAACCTCTCTTCCGGGTGTATCACATACTGTTGACCGTTTTGCTAAGCCGCAAACCCGCACCGTGTTGTCGTTGGAGCCGACCAGAAGGCGAATGCCGTACTTGTTGTCGTTCAGCGTGTTCTCCGTCACCAATGTATGCGATGTCTCCACGAGCGATAGGCCGGCGTCGAAGTTTCCGTATAGCGTGTTTACTGGGGACGGACGACGCAAAAAAAAAAATAGTTGCGCGTAAATTTCCGCGCGGTGTGCTAACTGGAAACCGACGAAAAAACAAACAAACAGTTGTGCGTAAGTTTCTACACGGCGTGTTAACCGAGATCGGACGCAAAAAAAAAAAAACAGCTGTGTGGAAGTTTCCGTACGCCGTGTGAACTGGGGACGGGCGCAACATTTGTCTCTCAGGTATGTGGATTTTCCTTACATCAATGACAGCAAGGCTCCGTTCGAGACAGTACTGCTGCTGTTCGACTGCAGTCGAAAGGGATGTGCTGGAAGTCTTTGCAGTGCGTTTGTGGGGGGTGAGGTGGGGAGTCTCGTCATCGTCTCACATCGGACCGTGGAGTAGTCGCAGCTCTTGTGGAGCATGATGCCACTGCCGCCGTTGTCGTAGGACTCGTTGTTCTCGACGAGAAGGTGATCGCACCGCTTGGACGCGATGATGCCGTGGTCGCCTGCACGCAGTCCAAGACAACAATAACAACAACGAAAACAAACGAAACGAACGGCCAGTTGGTGCAGGGCGTGAGCAATTTGCTGAAAGGGGGCACAGCAGCTGGTACGCCGGTCAGAGTCTTCTTCTCTGGCTCCTCTCTAGCCCCTTTCTGCCTGCTTGCCGGACTGCTACTGTATGTTTGCCCCTCTCTCTTTCCACAGTCATCTGTTCTCTGCCTCCTGTCTACAGTCCCTTTCTGACTTCTTGCCTGACTGCTATGTTTGTCCCTCTCTTTTTCCGTAGCCATCTGTGATCTACCCCTTCTCTAGGCATTCTTGGCCTATGTATTCCCATCGCCATGTCCCGCTCTCTACCCCTCATCTGGTGCAGTCTACCGTCACTGTCTGTCTGCCTGCCTACCTGCCTGCTATGTTTGTCCCTCTCTCTTTCCTTAGCCATCTGTTCTCTGCCCCCTCTCTAGTCTCCTTTGCCTATTCCCATCGTAATATCTCGCGCTCTACCCCTCATCTCGTGCCATTTAACGTCACTGTCTGCCTGCCTGTCGATGTCTATCCCTCTCTCTTTCCCCAACCATCTATTCTCTGGCCCCTCTCTGGTTCTCTTTCGTCTCTTCTCCTGCAGTGCCTCGCTCTCTCTACAGTAATATCTCTCATCCCGTGCCTCTATCTGTGGCGCTTCTGCCTGTCCGACTATAACTGCTGCCCCTCTCTGTTTCCCGATCTCTATGCAGCACACACTCCTCCCCCTTACCGTTGTTGTAGCACGTGTTGCCAGTGATGGTGAGGTAGTCGCTGTCGTCATGTGGGTCAAACCCGTACACGTGGTTGTCTGAAAATACAGAAATAAGGGGGGGGGGGGGGGGGGATTGTGA